GCCGTGCTCATCCCCCTCCCTTTGCGCGGCCGCAGGCCCAGCTGGGATAGATCTAGCAGGGAGATGTCCAGGACTGTGATCGCAACCAGAGAGGGAGTGAGGGGATTTATGAAAAAATAATTTCCCACAAAACCCTGAACTACTACCATTTTGAGATTTTTTTTTCTTTTTTAACCCTTAAGCAGTGGACTTTGCCAACGACCCCCGGGCTCGTGGTTGCCCAGGGCCATGAGAAAAAAGGGGACACGCAAACAGGAGGAAAACGCATCAGAAAAGCTCTGCTGCTGCCCCCCCTTACATCTTGCCACAGGGACAAAGCCAAGAAAACCTCTGTCACCGCAGTTTCTGACCCATAAAGCCGACACCCTCGTTGCCAACATTTCTGGTGGCACCAAGTCCGCTCTTCAGCCCAAAGTGAGCTCTTGCCCGTGGCGAGCCCAAGGCCTGCGTTCGCCGGCCATCGATAGCTGTGCAGAAGCCCAGGGAGCCTCCGCAGCCCTGCGGGGCTAGGCAGGACGCGCAGCACCGCACGGGTGCCCAGCCAGACTGGGGAGAATGGAAATGCCGGTGGCAGGAGGCTGAAGGGTCCCATGCAGCACGACTTCGGTGCCATCACCTGGCTGAAGGAAAGGACAGAGGTGTTTCCCAGCACTGCCCTCCCTTTCCTTTCCCAGCAGGTTGATCTGGTTTTGATTTGTACCAACCTCTGCTGTCAGAGTTTTGATGGAAGTGACTCATCTCAAAGCTAACCAGCTGAAAAACAGCTCCAAAACGCGAGTTACTTGCACCCTGCGTCACAGAGCGATTCCTCCATGCACACACTGCAGCTGGAGGAAAGGGAAAAGCGAGAGCAAGTGGCTGAGGGCCAACAGAGATCCTCCAAGCGAGGGGAAGCAGCAGAGGGAAAGGGGGAGACCCCAAACAGGACTGAAAGGCGTGGATGGTTTGGGGCACGCGGCTGAGGTGTTGACTGGGCTGGTGAAACGGCCTCAGCCTCTGCCCAGGCTCAGGAGGTCCCTCCCCAGTCACAGCTCCCCTCCAGCCTTTGCAGCCAGCAGCAGGTCCTGCACCGCAGCAGGACAAGGCCCTTCAAGCACAGCCTCTGCTGGGACGCGGCAGCATTCGGGCACACGAGATGTTGCTGGCAACTCGCCTTCGTGGCGGTTCACCCTCCCCCTGGAGTTCAGGCTGTGCCCTGTTTCCCTCCCCCTTCTCACGCCGACAGGGAAGGCTGGCAGGGATCTCCGTGCCCTCGCAACACAGCTGCCAAGGAAATCCTGGAGGGCAGAAGCCAAATCCTACTCCTGGGCCCTGTGTGCCAGCACCTGACCCTTTTGCTTCCTTACCACATATTTTTGAAGTCAAAGGACATACACCCCCACCCCCACCCCATACACCCCCCCCCCCACCCCCACATCCCCCCCAAACAAACAAACAAACAAACAAACAACAACAAAAAAGCCCAAGCAGAATCAGTGTGAAGTACCAAAAACCTTTATTTTCCCCCAACCCATAACAACATTCGACATCATACTGATTTCCTCATATATTTGTTATTTCTCTACGTTAGGAACCAGATACAGAAAATACAAACACAATCTGTTGAATCAAAGACGGCACAGCATTCCGTTAGAAAAAGAAACAAAACTAGAGGAGCAAGATAAAAATGGTGAAAAATAGTCATTCCCTCCAGCCCAAACTTTCCAAGAATCATCATCATCATCATCAAAATAGAGCAGTGGAAGTAGCTTCTCTTTCTAAACGCACTTCTGCTTTTAAGAAAAAAGTTAGATTTATCTTTAGATTTCAAAGTAAAAAAATGTTAAACTATCTTTCAAGCAATTTTGGAAGTTTGCATAGACCCATTCCCTTTCCAAAAATATCAGTGATCTCTCTATAGAATCTGATATAAATCAAGTGCGCACCTCATCTGAAGATCACCAAGCTCAATAACTTTCAAGAAAATAAAACGATCTCCCCTTCCCCTCCCTCCCCCCCACAAAAATACGGGCTCTACCATTATGTTTGAGGCAAGTTAGGAGGCTCAGCCACACCTCCAGCTCAAAGCTTCATCCAAATTCCTTTTGTTTCCCAGGTTTCCATGCTGGCTCCCTCCCGACGCGTAGGGGCGACCGCGACATGGACGAGATGGGGTTAGGATGGCGGCGGCGGGCTGATGGACGACGCAGCTCGCGGGAGGGAAAGGGGGGGAATTTTGCACAACGAATCCCCGGTGAGGAGGTGGCTATTCGGTACAAACACTTGCTACCAGGCAGTGTTTGCAGTAACTCGTCCCCAGGGACTAGCCCTGTCTACAGGGCTTTAGTCACCAGAGCAGCAACGCGTTGGGCTAGAGAGGAGCTGGGGTGGCAGGGAGCTGGGGAAGGAGGGGCAGAGGACGGATTCGCGGCAGCGAGGAGAGGGGGGAGGCGAGGGCAGGATCGGGGCCCCTCTCCAGGAGGGGCGTTCGCCCGAGGTGCTCTAGCGTACCTGGAGTGAGGTTTCCCAGAGGTTCACAACAAGGCGTGCAGAGTCCAGCTGCACAACCACCAGTTTAAAAAGAAACAGCAACAACAAAATAAATAAAAGTCAACCCCTCCTGTTAAGGTTTGAATGAAATAACGTTTTCTGCGGGTCTCAGCCCAGTTCAGAACCCTCTAAAAACCCGAAAGAAACGTTTAAAAGGACTTAACTTTCTGTACGGGGCAGGGTGATGTGGCAACGAGGGGGAAGAGATTACAACTTTGGCTGTTCCTGACACCTTGGGTCAGGACAGCACGATGGCCCCCTTCTGAAGTGCCAACCATACAATAAGAGATGTAGGAACAACATCCTTTTCCCCCTTTTCTCCATCAACGTTTCCAACGGAAGCCCATCTCCTTCACTGATCCACGACTATCTTTTTTGACATTCACTCATTTTATAATCTTTAAAAAAAAAAAAAAGTTAGTAAAAAAAAAAAATTACACTGACTTTCCCAACTCTTCACAGGGGGCTTCCACCAACTAGAGGTCCAGAAACTGGGAGGGCAGAGCCCACACGTTTCACCCGGCCCCGAGACGGGAGCAGAGAGCCAGCTCTGCTCTCCTAGGGTCAGCTGGGAGCGAGCAGCCCTGCTCGCCAGCGGCGGAGACCCAGGGGACGCAGAGTCTTGCCAAAAAGGTCCTTTTACTTGTCTAATTCACCTCTGAATCCCCTGAGAAGGGAAACAACGTACGGAGCAAAGTCCCCCCTCAGCCCCTCAGGAATAAAATATCAATGAAACAATAATGCAGTCAAAAAACACCAGCCTGCTGGGTTTATAAAAAAACTCAATAAACTTCAAGACAAAAAAAAAAAAGAAAACAAGAAAAAAGAAAAACCCCAAAGGAAACTAGCCAGCGGTTCGGGGCTGGAAACTGCTTGTTCAAAGTCCAACGAGGAACAGATGGCAGCAATGCTACAAGGAAAAAGTGCTCGCGAGCGCACCTTCCCGAGAGAGCAGCGAGTCGGCTGGCCGAGCGGCCCCGGTTCCGCGCCAGCCTCCTGCAGCACCACTAGCTGCCCCCGCCGCCGGCCGGGAACTGCTGGGCATCGCTCGCGATGGACGCGCAGCTGGAGCTCAGCGTGCAATCTAGAAATAGAAATAGACTGCTCCTTCCTCTCTCCACAGGTCGGTCTGTTCGGGGTACTCCAGCCCCGGCTGTGCTGCGCTAGGCTGAACGACTAGGGCCGCTTTCTTCTTCAAAATGAGGGGTAGGAGAGCTAAAAAGCTACTTACAGACCAGGATCTGTGGAACCAATAATGACGTCGAGACAAGAAAGAGATACCCTAAGAGAGACAGTGATCAGAAACGCAAGCAGTGATGTGCCAAGCTGCTGGAAGAGAAGCCAAAGGCACGTCCAGGTTGGCCACAGCTGTGATAGAGCAAGTTATATGCCTCTACCAGCCTGGGGAAGATGAAGACCAACTTTCGGAACAGCTCAACTGCTTCCCCTCTTGCCTCACTGGAAAGAGATTCCTTCTTCTGTCCCGCAGGGGATTTTATGACGTGCTTAGCAGCAAGTGTCTCAGAGCAGCAGACTCCTGCCAGTTGGAGCTCACAAAAAGAGCCCTTGGTTCCCAATTGCTCTGACAGTAACTACCATTGTTTTTCATGGGAAGAAAAGCAAAGCAGCAGAACTGAGCTGGATTTGGCCTCTTTCCTGGGATATTTTTGCCCCTTTCAAGGCCTTTTTTTTTTTTTTTTTTGCTGTTGCCACACTGACAGCATGCTGGACCTGATTTCCAGAAGGGCTTCGCTGGCCCCCGGGCAGTGGCAGGTGCTCTGTGCTTGCGAGCAGCCTGCCCCTCGGCTCCCGCTATGGCTATCTCCAGTCAGAGCGGCACACGCTACTGTTTGAGCATGCTGCTGCCCTCACACCGACCTAAACAGAGGGTCAGGTCAGTCCTAGCTTTCTGGCAGAGGCCCAGGGAGAGAGAAAAGCCAACCAGTTCTCCCCCTCCTGCAAACACGCAGCATCCCAAGAACAGCGCATGTCTCACCCAGACCAAGCAGGGAACTCACCAGCCTGCTAGCGAGTGCCAAACCTACCCAGACTGAATGAAGAAATCACCGTTAAATACACCAGCAAGCGTGAAAGAGCTTTTGTTTTAGACAGACTCAAAAGATCCAATAACGCTTCCCTACATTAAACCAAACCAAGGTGTTGTCATACCCCTTCTTGCCCTGATCCAAATTTAATTCCCTTTGGAGAGAAAGGGAGAAGGGGTGAAAAAAAAATCATATCCTATATGTGGTCTGTCCAGCTACAAAAACAAACCTACTGACTTGAGTAGAGAAACCATGAAAACAGAGTAAGCAGCTGTATAGCTTTGCCACACTGCCTAGCACCCTCTGCATGCAGCCATCTCCATGCGAGCAGGGCAAGAAAGCAAGGCGCTTTCATTTCTGGTTTCTTATAATCTTCTGCCAAATTCCCTTTTCCAGTAGCTCATCTGCATGCATTCTGGTCACAAAGACCACAATTAACCATTTTTTTCTTTAAAAAAAAAAAAAGCCTTTACAGTAACTAGAATTTGAACAACAATGTGATCTGTTACAAGTCTTTCCTTACCGAATGGGACAAGCGTGTGCATGCGTGTGTGCACGCACGTGTGTGTGTTAGAGGAGGGCACATTCCTCGCCATGCTTCGGAGCGTGCCACCATTCAAAGTGCATGGCTGCTGAGTGCTACCACAGTACAACAGCAAAGAGGAAAGGGTACTACACAGAAATAGCTTATAGGCTGAAAGTCTCTGTACAGGAAGAGCTGCAAGCACAGCCTGCTGACAGCCCATGGCTGGAGTCTGCATAGATCCTCATTTGCAGTTCAGCTGCCAGGAGAATCTAGAAGTGGGAGCTGAAAGACTGAAGTCTCTGCCACGCACTGCAAGGAAAAGAGACAGCTAAAGTGTCAGACAACTGCAGAAATCAAACGAAAGAAGAGCAATCGAAAGATCAACCAGAAAACAGTTTGAAGCCTTATCAGAAAAGTTCACTTGCCACAGAGCAGGTAAGAACAGCTGCTGTGGTTAAACATGGCAGAAAACATCTATTCTACCTTTGAAGGCAAAGACGGAGACTTCATCTTGCCCTCGTCAGAGCTTCTCCCCAGCCCTGAAAGGAGCCAGCTCAGGCATAGATCCCTGCAGATAGGGCAGGCAAGGTCAACCAACACCAATTCCCTTACTGGCCCAGACCAAGAGAGACAAGTTAATCATCATCACAAGAGACCACTACAGTCAACTGCATCCTGCTCTGGCCCAGGAGAGGGTTATCAGATAACAAGATTCTTTTCATGGTCCAAGAAAGGCAGTTCCCTTCCTGAGCCAAAAAGAGAGGCTTTGTATTCCAAGCCTCACCGGTGACTATTTGCTGAGTCAGTCCAGGGAACATGGATTATGCTCCTGGCACAGCAAGTACAAGCCTCCTCCAGGTAAAATCTGGAACCTCTAAAGTGCTCATAGATGAACCCTGCCCTTCCATGCCCAGCAGTGGAAGGGAGTAATGCAGTTAGTGGTATAACAAGCACTAGCATTTAACCATTTATCAGCTCCCATATGGAGTGCAGTAGCTTTTGGAAATGCACTTTTGGGAGATATTTCCTATGAGAAGAGGATGTTTGGGGATTTGAGGGGTAGGAAGGTGAAGTGCACACCATAGCATACTTTGCTCAGTAAAACTGTTGCCTGGGAAGGTGATGTTCCCTTGCAGAGTCAGTGGAATAAAGCATCCTGCAAGTAGCTATCATCATCATGTCACCAAAAAGGCAGCGCTCAGTTTGGTTAGAATGATTCCCTCCTCCCCCAGTGGTTTCAAGAGTTCACAGTGGTATAACCCAATGGTTTGGGGAGACAGAAGCTGAGAAGTCCCCTGTTGTGAATGAACGTGTGGCGTGAGGGACTGCAAAAGAGCAAAATCCTCTAGGAGTAAGGACAGCCCCAACAGACACCTTGAATCTCATCAGGAACACGGGGAGAGCAGGCACTGGAAGAACTGGGAAGTGGAGGAAGGTAATGTCAACACAAGGAAAGTGCATGATTTGGAGTGGTCTCGGAGTAGTTCTGCAGTGCAAACCTATGGGGAGGGGTGTGGAGAAATCCCTTCTGGAATGCTGCATGAAGAGAGGTAAAGATTGGCATCCATGTGGCAGCGGACTGGGTAGGGGGTCCGTTTCCAGCAGCTCTACCCTGTTCTTCACATTTAGTGGGTTTCAATCACCACTGGCTCGTAAACTCCAGAGGAGACCCTGAGGAGGTAGAAGGGAAGAAGACAAGAAAGCCAAATTGTTTTCCTCAGTCGCCTTATAGCAAACAAGTTCTTTTTCAGAGCTCTCCACTCAGAAACATCCCCCTCTAACCCCCCACAAAATCCTGAAAATAACCAGTCAGCCTGGCAAGAAGTCAATCCACATAACACAAAACAGACAGCTACGTGGCAAGTAACACTAGAGCATTTGAAAGAGCTGGGTGTAGCACATGAATCCTTCTAAAGGAGAGAGGAAAGGGGCTGAGGGGAAAAGAGCCAGTGCTCCTGGGCTCAGCTCCCAGCTTTGCCACTGAAATTGGGAAATCTTTGCATTTGCTTACCATGTTGCTTTCTTACCTCAAAAGGTGCTATAAAGCTTAACAAAGGCAACTAGCCAAGACACTGCACTAAAAGCTGTTGTGGCAAGACAAAGTTTTATTGGTCTGATCAAGTTTTGTCAGAAGTCTTTCAAAAGAGAACCAGCCCTTGATGGACACGGAGGGGGGAAGCGAGAAGGGACGATAAACCAGGCTGTTGCGTTTTTGTTGCAGTCCAGCAGGAGGCAAAGCGTCCTGCCTTCAGTTGGGCACAGGAGCAAACAGGGACAAACCTCTACCATTTTGTCCTCCTCCTCCTTTCTTCTGTTCTCAGATCTAACAGCTAAGATTGAATTATCCCTCTGGGCTTCTGAGAACTGCAGGCATACTCCAGTGCGGCTGTAGTCTGTCACCAGAGGGATCCAAGGATGTTGAAGTAGGAATAAAGGCACCATGACATTTAGAAATCTCTCCTATAGCAAAGGTAAAAGTTTCCTGGGTACAAAGAGCTAACCAATATTCTCTGCAGCCTCGTTGTCCGCCAACCTTTCAGGAAACCTACCTGTTTCCCAGCTGAATGCCGCTCAATGTAGTTGTTCCATCTCTGCTCACAAACAGTCTCAGGTTGCTGTCTGCAGATAGAAGAGAAAGGAATATCAAAATCTAGAACTACTGATGACCACCAGGCATGCCCTCCTGCCAGCTGCATTACACAATGTTCAGCAAGGGAGTAAGTCCACCTCTGCGAATGCATGGGCGCACTCAGTGGTGTTCCCACTGTAACGGTGCCCCTGGGAACTCCTCCTCTTGTTTTAAAAAGGATCCTCCTATATAAATCAACCACAACATTAAGCTTTGGAAGAGTAAACACAAGAGAAATGAATTCAATCATATTCCTACAGCTGCTTCTTTTAAGACAATTTCATTGATTTAACTTCTTGGTCAGTTTAAACACATCTAGACAGATGATGTGGGGCTGCATCTGCAGGGTCAGCACTGGAGAAGAAATCCAGCCTGTTCTGCTGATAAAAAGTGGCTAAATTCAGTCTAGTTTTAACCCACACTGAGTGGGGTGTAAATCCCTGTATTAGAAAGAGGGTTGTCATATGCAATGATTTAAGGTTACTAAGAGTGAATTATAGAAGCACTAACAGCAAGGGTTTAAAACCTATCTAAAACTACAACTAGACAAAAAAAAAAAAAAGATTAATTGATTTCTAGCCTAAACTGGAGGATTAAAACAAAAGACAGTCATATTATTACTTTTAATTCTCTCAGTAGATGCCGTGCCTGCAAGGGACAAAACCCCTTCTTACCATAAAAAAATAAAAATCGACAAAAAAAAAAAAAAAAGATTAATTGATTTCTAGCCTAAACTGGAGGATTAAAACAAAAGACAGTCATATTATTACTTTTAATTCTCTCAGTAGATGCCGTGCCTGCAAGGGACAAAACCCCTTCTTATGCTCTTTCAGAAAAGCCTGATCACAAGCATGTTGCGAGCCATCTTCCTTCCCTTCTTTTTGCCCAGACGTGTGCTGTTTCCCCTTCAGTTGGGCTCTCCTACTTTAAATACTTTTGGGCTGATACTGCCCAAAGGCCACCACAGCAGTGCAGAGAACTGATGCAACTCATTTCCACTGCCCTGAAGAATCATTATCCCCTTCCCCACCATCCTGTATACTTAAGCCAGTGTTCCACCTCAGCTGCAGTTTGAAGAACAGCCGCAAGTGCTGTTTACAAATGGATATGCAGCTTTCAAATCCACAGTTTATTGACTGCAGAAGCATCTAGCAAGCACTGAAAGCCAGTTACTGTCAAAAGGGGAGGGAGCATCTGGCAGATCAGATCTGGATGTAAAAGCTTAGCAGTTTTACTCCTCCCCTTTGAGACTCATCCCCTCACCTTCAGTATTGCTGACATCTGTGAAGTCCTGACTCTGCATTATTTTCTCCACTATATCATCAGCATCGATCCTGGTGTCATCCACTCTGGTTGGGTGACTCTCCACTGAATCCTTTTTCCTCCTGGGGAGAGGAAGTAAAGGGAAAAGCTGAGCAAATTTTCAAGACAAACTCCAGGATAATCTCCCGCTTCCCTTGACAATAGCCTCCTTTCCAATAATTTCCTCAAATTTACTACTGCTTGAGGACAAGAGTCTTTGTACTTTCAATCTTGCCTTCCCAGAGAAGGGGCTTTGCTCTAGTTACGTACCGGGAGGGTCTATCCAGCAGAAGGGCTGGTCTGGGGGGCCGAGGTGGCTTCTCTAGTTTGTGATCCCGCTCTCCCTCGGGACACTCCACTGTCATACTGAGCCCTCCAGATGCACTGCTGCTGGTGGAGGTATTCCGGCGATGGGTCAAGTCAGACATACTGGAAGAACGGGAGTGCTCCGTGCTGTAACCTGCAGATACAGAGCGATTACAAAACAGATCTGCTCCCCCTGCCAGCGGCACAGTTAACAGGCTGGCCAGCTTCAGAACAGCGCTGCTGCTCCCATAGTCTTGGGTTTATACATAGATCTAGGAACTCCTACGTAGTCACAAAACCAGAAACTCAGAAGTCAGATTACAGAGCCGAGTGAGAGACATGGCTGCAGATCACTCTCCGAAGAGATTGTTGCAGAAGAATAAAAAGGATGAGACCGATGATGATAAACCCTCACGGATCAATGATTACCAGAGATTTTGGACTGCTGGCTGGCATAGCTAGAGTTTCGTGAGTGCCCCGAGTGGAAGACTTCCTCTGGACTGGACAGATTCTGATCTGGTTCTTCCGGGACACCTGCCAAGAAACAACAGGCCACTTCAGTTACACCGTAACCAAGTCAGGCACATCGCCCCCACCTCAGAACGGAGGCCTATCTTAGGACACTAGATTAAGAAAAGGGCAAGCCTGTTGACAGAGCTCTGCTGTACAGGCTAGCACAGAGCTTAGAAACAGCTGTGGTGAGTATGGAAGACAGCAACAAGCTTCTCTGTCAAGCTTAGCACTAATTCTAGCATCCATTTACAAGCCCTAGGAAGGATCTAGAAAGATAGGTATTACCTCAAGCTATCCGTAATTAAAAGCATTAAGCCAAGAATAAGAAAACAAAGAAAGGCCCCTGGCAGTAAAGTATTACATCTTCCATTTGGGTGCTTCGCCTGTTGTTACATTTCCCCTTCTATCACTCGTGAGAGACCGCACGCCATTTAAATCGCATCCGAATTTGGTACAGAAACCTCAGCATTACCTCTGCTCCTTGCCATCGCCCTAGCCTGTGCTCTCTTTCAGAAAGTTTATCCAAGACTGCACAAGTGTAACGCGTTAGCTAGGTTTTTAAGACCACTTGCACACTGTGCTAAGTCACAGAGGTGAAGTGACTAGAGTGTTATTTTGGTGCAGTGTGTATCTATCTGCTTGCACGTCTGGACTGTGCTGGGGGAAAAAAAGCTATGGGAAAATACAGTGCCCTTGAAAACAGGCTCATACAGAAGCCAAAGAACTCTGCATCAGCAGCTGGAACAAGGCCATTAGCTCTCAGACCAACCACTAAAACCTGCAGAGGAACTTTTCTAGAAGATAAGCCTGAGCAACAGAATAGCTGAGTGGAGAACAATATTAACTGTCACTAGATACAAAAGAAAGCAGGAATGAGTGCAATACATGAATTATTAAATCTTCAGCAGCAAGAATAAATTGCTTTTATCTCCAGTAACAGAAGTACTCATGCTGCAAAGATTCATGCTTCCTCTCCACAATTACGTTTAATAGATGGCTTTGTTTTTCCTTAATTTTGTTAATGATTAAAGGGGTGAGGAGGGGAGTGGGAAAACATGGAAAATTAAAGAATTTCTGTGTTTGCAGCTGCTGCGGAAAAACAAACCAGAGTCCAGGCACAGCGAAGCATCGCGTGAACCTTCTGGATGGGCAATCATACCCGAGCTGAGAATGGTAGGTCTTGGCTTGGTCTGACGGAGAGAGCCAATAGTGGCTGAACTGCTGTTGCTGCTTGTGGTTCCCTCACCCTTACAGGTCAGCTGCAGGGTGGAGTCCTGTCCGGGTATGGTGATGGATTTAGCAGTGGAAGGAGGCCTGTAATCAAAAGTGGAGAACATCACAGACTGCTAGGCAGGAAGTGGGAATCACCCAACCACAGTGGCCCTTCCCATCAGGGGATATAAAGAGGGTCTCCCTGCAATCCTGCCGGCACCCTGCCCTCCGTGAGGCAGGAGGGAAGCTGGCAGGGTCCTGCAACTAGCAACAGGGCAAGACGTTTGCTGTTGCTTTCCTACGTGCAAGGTTTGGATCTTTCCTACCTCATTCCTATCTCTGGACAACAGAGTTAGCATTTTATGAACTTTGATTAAGAGGAAAAGCAAGTCTCCCAAGATAAATGAAGGCAAAAAGGGACCTCCAATCATTTATACAAGACCACAGGCTCTCAGCCTCTTACACTGCAGAATCCTCAAGAAAAATCCAGAGCTGCCCTTCCCCAGCGCATGTTCCAGCGGCCACACAAAGAGGAACCAATTTGCTTTTGTCTAGCTCTAAAGTCCCAGCGCCCTTTCATTACACCTTTCTGACTTAGATCAAAAAAAAGCCTTTTATCCCAGCAAGCCCAACATACCCATAAGAGTACTTTTACAATGATCAAATAACCTTTCCATTTTTCAGTTGAAGATTAAACCCCCTTTCAGTGAGACTAAAGTATTTTTCCAGCTGTCAAAATTATTTTTTTCCTGGTTATTCTGCGTGCTCTCAACATCCCTTTGTAAATGCTGACTCCAGGACAGAACTACAAGTGCCTGCAACTCCCTCCCTTCCTCCAGAAGGGTTTTTGGGTAGAAGCCATGGCTTGTGCAGCGTGGCAAAGTTAATATTCCTGTTGGAACCCTAACTTTCCTGCAGCCTGCAGTCCAAACTGTAACTAAGTGATTGTACTATGCTTTCTAAGTGAGGAGTGAGAAAGAAAAACTTATTTGTCTCACTTGGAGCTCTGAGGTGAATGAAGGAAGATGCTACGTTAGAGGATCTTTCAGCATTTTGGGAGAAAGAATACAGTACTAAAAACATTTCATACGGGCAGCAAAACTGCTGTAAAGGCTTCAGGAAGCCCACAGCATGCCTTCCCCAGGGAAAAAAGCTCCCTAATCATGTTATCAGTGATTTACACGCACCCGGGTACTTTAGGGGCTTTGCTTCACAGGTTAATAAGGCACTTACAGTCTTGAGCAAACTGCTCCAGCAGCAGCTGCCAGAGAAGCCTGTGTGTGTCAGGTCAGGCAGACAGGCTGCTCTCCCCTCCTATACGATACCCATGAGGAGAAGGGGTATTAGAGCGCTGCAGAAAGTAAGTGCTCAGGGAGCACAATCCAGACTGATTTTCTGGCACAGTTTAATTCCTGCCTAATGCTCTAATGCGTGTCATTTCTCAGAAGCTCTACTGATCAAGGGCTACTCCACGTGCAAAGCTTCAACATTTAGGCGCTTGCACACCATCAATGTATAAAGAAAAAACGGGGATGATTACAAGAAAATAATGAGGTTTGACTTTCAGATTGACCCTACTTATATTAAATTGATGTTTATAGTCAATGCCATATAATTTTCAGGCATTTCAAACGTGGAGCTTTCTTTCACAGTGAAAGTGCAACAGGTATTTATTATTTATTGTCAGACATCCTAGTAACCTAGATTTAAAACATCTGTTACTGTTACCAACTTACGGTTTAAGATATTCAAACCTTTCTTATTAAACTTCCTTCTGAAGCAGAAATTTTTCAGAATTAGATGACACTGCCTTTAGGCTTTGAAAGTCTCAAAGTGCTGCAGCACTATGGAAAGTCATTCACAAAATACATTGAATAAGAATTAAATAGCATTTTGTAACAAGAATGCAAGTTAATTTATGCACTTTGAACTAGCTCCTAAAATCAGACCTTTTAGTACAGAACATCGCCGCTACAAGAGATGACCTCAAGTTAAAGTTTTCCTCCTTTACACCGCTGGGAATCAATGCAAAATATTTATATTTGTACATGACAATCCTGCTGTATATAGTCACACAGTTTATAGCACACTATGGCAGACTGGCTTGCATTGCAAAATCTGGCTATTTCATACTGCAGTAGAGAGGTACGTTTTGTGAGTATATTTGTTAGCTGATTCCCTAACAATTCCTAAACCCCTTCACAGCTTAACTGCATTCATTCTTTTTTATAGTGATGCTTTAAAATAAAGTTACATGATTGCAGTTTCGCTACTGATTAATATAAATTATGAGCCTAGGACCCTACAGAAAAGGAGAATTAAAACATTTTGGTGTTGCAGTATTTTTTCTGCCGTTTTGATTCAGCATCTTTATCTTGTATGATATTATTACACAAATGCTGAAATGTATCTGCTTCTAAAACTTTTTCTTACCTGACCTTTCCCTTCTCCAAGGTCACTGAAGTTTTGTCATCAACCAGTTTGAGAACTATGAGAGTTTCTGCCACTCGTTTAAAACACTGGGGTTTGTTATCAATGTCCATTAGTTTCCAAACCCTGACCCAAGCATGACTGTTTCTTTCCCAGTCCTTTGGTAGAATCCAAGGGATTGGGAAATCAGATTTAAGGTCAAAAAGGAGGTAGGAAAAATACTTTTTCTTCACCTCATATAGCAGTAGTTAAAACTGATACGCAATTTAGTAGATCCTTGCAGGTCACCCCTCACATCTACCACCTGTAGATGTTATCACCGATTCTGACATTCGGGGTCAGGACTCCCCTCCCCCCCCCCAGCCCCAATCCAACCCTGTAGCAGGTATTTCCTTTTTATAGCTAGGTAAACCAGAGCAGAGAACACGAACAAACCAATTGCACAGTCTGGCTACGCTATTCTGGCTGATTCAACAATCTAACCAGTTTCAAGCCTTCCCCGGTACTTCCGAATCCCAGGGACATCTTTTCCCACTTCCCAGCAATTAGTCTCCAACAAAGAACTGCAAGGAACCAGGTTTCCCTGTCTCCCCAGAACGGGATGAGCATCCGGAAACTCACGTTTTGAAGCAGGGGTCCCCTGAGAGCAGGGACATCCCGATCGTGACCTAGAGAGAGGGGACAAGGCAGGTCATTAGCCACGCTGCAGTGGGCTCGTCACTTCACCATGGCCAGGAGATCAAGGTCTAGGTGGAGAGGTTAGGAATACCTAGTTCCCCTCCAAAGGGAATACGCTTTGGGGGTTTAGCAAGATATTTCCCCTCCCTGCCCCAAGCACTGGCATCACAAACATTGCAGCAGCTCAGTGGGACACCGCCCTGGCAACCCTAACAATGCACTTGAGATCTTTTTTTCTGTTTGCGCTTTCTTTGACGAAAGAGCGTTATTGAGGGTCCTCACTCGGCATGTGCCAAGATATCAGAGCAACTCTGATAATGGGAAACTTCCCAAATTAGACTAGCAGCATACAAGCAAACTCTTTGGTGACTAAGTTGTCCCATCTTTGTACACAACAGGATTTTCTTTCAGGCCCAGCAATGTATTCTGGCAACAATCTTTCCAAGTTCAACAGCAGGATTCCCGCTGTGGCAGTACCGACTGCTGTACCTTTAGGATGGAGTTGTCCTGTCGGGTGTTCTTAGTATCATATCCTTCCAGTAAGCAGCAACGGACAGTGGATCCGGAGCCCGCAAATTCTGCCAGATTTAGATCAGCAAAGCCCAGCTGTAGCCAAGAAAACAATGGGGTGAGGAGGGGAAAAAAAAAAAAAAATCACTCAGTAGAGAAACAGAGTGTGTCAGACAGACCAAAGGAAGACAGTGCGTCTGTGAGGCCAGGCAGAAGCATGAGCCAGTACAGGCTGCCACACGGTTGCGGTTACAAGGACCCCTTACGCTTGAGGATGGGAAAGGCCACGCTTAATCCCGAGTCAGGTGAACATTCAGAAGCCTGCAGGAAGCCCTGTGCGGAGGAAGGAAATGCAGCTGTAGCTCTGGCCAGGACAGCGTTAACCAGCCTGCAGCCGTTGCATAACCAAGGACATGGAAGGCACTAGGTCAATGATGTGGAAAAAACAGAATCACATACACAAACATAAGGCACGCTTTGTATTGGGCCACCCCAGAATGCACCGGAGCGCGCAAACCAGGAGACGAAAGGATATTGCTACAGCTGACAGTGACGTTGTCCCGAGAAGCAAAACGGAGACTTTCAGGACAGCAAGTTGGAAGACAGTCCAGGTGTGGCGATCCAGTCGTAAGACTCCAGGGCCACGCAGCAGCGCACGGCGTTGCCCTGTTATCCCACAGGGCAGCTGTTCGGCTGGGGTACTCCTGTAGCAGGGTTTCCTCAACACCTCAAGGATTTAACGAGCAAGCGGTACGTTTGAGAGGCAGAAGGGAAGAGAAATATTTGGAGAGATTTAGCTGCGGGCTTCTTCTCTAACAAGTCAAAGGAACCAGGTACATGAAAATGCAAGACAAAATGAGTAGGGAAGAAGAGAGAAAGCTGAAGATGACAGGCAAATCCAAAGAGGGTATTGGTGCCTCAGCAGTAAAGAGGAGCACAATGAAGAGCAGTTTTGTTTTTCAGATTCCTTTTCTCAAAGGAGAAGTTCCAGCTTCTTTCACTCAGAGCTGTAGTGAGAAAAGTCAATTGTCTCATCTAATCGGATCAGAAAGAGATTCTGTACCCTGTATTTTACCAAAAAGTCCGGAAAAAGCACAGAAAGCTTGCATTGCTTCTACAGACAGGTCAGCTTCCACGAAAACACCGAGAGCGCATAAGGAGGAAAGAGCTCAGAGCTAGCTGTTGCATTGTGCATGACAGTACATTTATTTTGCCCTGGTGTGATACCCGGAGGATACAACTGAACTGTGAGCCTCAGTCAGGAGCACAGTCCTAGGGAAACGTGGTGCTCTGTCAACTGCGCGAGCTAACAAGAATTACAACACAAACCACAGGCCCATGTATGAACTCTGGCTCCCATTGTTCCAAATCCAAAGTCTAAACCATAGCCAGGACGTGCCTGCACTAGATAAATGATTCGGGGGAAGATAGCAGCAAGATTAAGATACCTGCTCCCGCAGTCTCATTCTCGGAAGGGAACTATTGCTGATAGCAAGTTTTAAAAAAAGTAGAAAAATGGGGGAGGAAGGAACATTTCTTCAACAGAAAAAGGAAGGGGGGAACAAACCACCCCCCCCCAACTTCATTCCCCCTCTTTTCTCCCTGCTTCAGAATTCCTTCAACTCAAGTGTGTTCCAGTCTTTGCTACAGATGTTCCACAATCTCATAGTAACTCTTCTAGCCATGGACCACACTGCTTGGTGAATATTCACTGACGGAGGAAAAATAGTGATGTTTTTCTTAACCTATCAAAAGACAAACAAGACGGGAGGAAGCCACAGAGGGAGCTGCAATGCTTAGCCCTCGACTTCAATGTGACAGAGTTGGAGAACAGAAGGGACACGACATAACCACACCAGCAGAGCAACATGGCATAGGAGTGGCCCAGATCCAGCTGCTGCTTCCTCCGCCAAAGCACTAACACACTCCAAGGTCCCCTCTGTAAGGGGAGGGTGATCAGAAGACAGTGTGGGAGAACGCTGCAATGACCTATACGGCATGCTGAGGTCAGAAGCTTTTTTCAGGAAGCAGACTCCCAGTAGATGGAGGAAGGATCCCTTAACAAAAGGATGTTTTCAGATGTAACCTTTCAGAATAGTTTCCTCAGTTTTCCAGCCAGCTGATGGTGTTTTCTTCCGGCTCAGGCAAAGCGTTTCTGCTTTATCAGTTCTTCCTGTTGGCTCCCGCTGTATAACCCCCGACACTGAAGTGACATTAACGTCAAACCAAAAGGTGAGTAAGTCTATGGAAATTTAACTTCCAGATAGGGTCACCTTGAGCACAAACAGCTAAATCACTCTTGGTCCTTGCTAGAGGAGGGATCAGAGAGGCCATTCACAAATTTCATTTTCCTCTACATCTGCTACCATAATCAGAGGTGATTTCAATTGAATGAATACAGCTTAAGAAGGTGAGGACTCATTGTCTAGGAATGGGAAGACAGATCCATGTTAAAGCTACTCCTGCGTGAACACACAATACCAACTTCTGCTAGAAACATTAGAAATGCCAAGTAACTCGGTTCTGCCATGAGGACCTGCCTGGAAATGAATTTGGGCAAGCCTGGTCCAGATGCCAAGACTGCAATACATAATCACCCCCTCTGGTACGACATCCCTGGTCTCTGAGCCGCTGAAATACCCAGGTGCTCTTCTGTTGAATTTTAGGAGAACTTACCTGTCTGGAAGGAGTTGCAGAAAGACACCGAACGACTATCACATCCAAGTGAGCTATCCCACCTCTTCACAGGAGGCCAAGCAAAATGCTAGCTCAAGAGAAGACAAGTACTTGAGCTTTGGCCTCCAAGTCTGGGTTGAAGCAACTAGATTTTTTTTTTTTTTTTTAAAAATGCTACTAAACTCAACTGGAGACGGAGTAAAAGGGAAGTAGGCTAGAGCACTGCCTGAATAAGAGCTCAGGTTAACTCCACAGTGAAGCTGTGCCTTCAGGCTTCTTTTAATTCTACATTTCTAAATACGGTGGGAAGTTTCAGGATAGACACTAAAGGAGGAATGGGTTGATGCATTTACTCTGTCTCACAGGCACATCTCTTCTTCCAGCTATGCTGCTCTCTCACTGGGCTGGCAGCTCTGCAGAATGGAGGAATGACCCCCGCCCAGTGTGAATTTAATGAAAGAGAAACTAATGGCCCCAGAGACCCATGTCCTAATTAGCCACAGAAAAAGAACAGTGTGGGTAGCAACACCGCCCTCAACCCAGACAGCACAACAGTATGTAGGAGGGAGCGCAGGTCACCCCTCAAAGCCCGTTACATCCACGGCGTCAGGAAGGATATCGATTAGAAGAAATTCTTACAAGGCTGTGCATGACCTGAACATCTGTTTATTAGAAACCAGTATCAGCAACTCCTTTTCAAACAAACATGGTTTCAGGCTCTGCACAAGCTCAGCTTCTATGCCAACATTGTCTCTTGTTCCAGCACGGAGAAGAGACGGTGGCAGCCAGCTCATTGTCTCTCCCATGACGGAACAAGAAAATGGGAGAAGAAAGCATAAGCATCCCTGCCAATCAATCTGTTTTTGCCTCGAGGTCCCCTCTGCTTTGGGACCAGAAATTGTTTCTGCAGCAAGTTTCTGCCCGTGCTCACAATGCAGCGAGGTACCTACCACAGCTGGTTACTGTGTTCCAGAGAACAGAACTGGAGTCAGTACTTCTTTATTAGCTGAGGGTGGCCAGAAGCCAGAGAGTTCACATCTGACTCAGAACTTCCCCAAAGTCTGAGGACACGCAGATCATCTTCCCAACCCCCTGCTCAAATTCACATCCAGTGCAATCTGGATCCTGTCCCAGCAAGTCAATATTTTTGGGAAATCACTTAACTCAAGCCTAAATTGAAAACTCTTTCTCCAGGCTGTTTCACACAGCAATCATGCTGCTTTTTGACCATTCAACCACTGGTTTTTAACAGATGTAAAGCACTGACAGAACACAAGACAGATCAGCACTCTGCTACTTTTGCCCTTTCTTTACTCTTACCTTGGAGTAGGTTTTTCCGCCCTTCAACTCCTATAATGGGAGACAAAACAAACAGGAAAAGCAGCTATTACATGTGCTGGGGAAATGGAGGGAAAGTCATTAATCAGTACTGGAATTTGCTCTCGGGATTTCACAAACCTCTGTTTCTCAAGGGTACCACCACCCGGGTCCCTCCCAGCCGCCATCAAATATCTTTGCTGGGGAAGAGAGGCTCCAAGCACTCCTTTCAGTTTACACCCTAGCCCAAACAATCCTTCCTTCCTACCACTGCTTACGCAATTTTTGCCACCGAAAAGGCAACTAGGAACTAATGCCAATACACATATCACCAGGTGGTACTGCCTGCCAGAAGCAGAAGCTAGACGCTCACCTTACGGACAGATACTCGGCAGATGCAGGGGTCCAGGAGTCCTGTGGCTGGGTTGGCACTAATTTTACACACGAAGGTGAATTTCTTCTTCCAGCGGACACAGTTTTCCTGAACTTCTTCTCTATGGGAATTCAAGAAAACACAGCCTTCGAAAAAGGTACAAAGTCAAATCAATCCTAACTATTCAGTAAATATATAATTTGTTTTTATGGCTGGCAACCTGGTCTGCAAAGATCCTTCTACAACATAACTCGGTCCACACCACCCACAACTGCGCTACACAGAGCATTAGGGCAGCGGCATGCAATTTCACTAGCCAACGCAGATAAAAATTCCATCTAGGTTACAGGCTAGACTAATCATCTCAACAACATTTACCTTTAAAGCTCTCAATGAACCAGTTTAGCTCAATTCATTGTCCGACACGGACAGAGCCAAACTCCATTAGTGAACTGGGCTGAAAGTTCTCGAGCTTAACTTCCTGCGACAACGTGCCAGTTTTGTACGGCCTTTTGTACAGCAAACATGCTATCTGTCCTGGACTGCTTGTCCTTTCTAGGCAGTCATCGCGCTTCTTACGCTGGGAGCAAGCCAATGAGAACAGCCAGCTCCAAGGAGGGGAAAAAACGCACGTGGAAACGCTCTTGGGCACAAGCGGACGAGGACCATGCCAAGTGAAGACCGTGCTTCAAATCATGCAAGTGTTTCAGATTGTGACTGCAAAAGAAACTGTTCCAGGCAGAGACAAGGTGATTTTCCTTACCCGGTCCCTTACTAGTCTACCCTGCTCACCTCAGTGAGCCAAAAAGGGCATGAAACAAGCGTAGTTTGAAACAGCAAAGAAAAAGAGTGAGGCTTCCTGAGCACAAGAACTGCTTCAGGTATAGTTTTCACTTCTGCAAAGCCCTTGGAGGAAGCTGAACGCAGCCTTTCAAAGAGGGTTCAAACAAGCATGGAGATGAGGTGTGGGGGCCTTCCATGAGGTTCTCATTACCAACTGATCCCCTGCAGAAGAGGAAGCCCAGCCTGATCCATTTATAGCTCAGACCTTGGCCCTGAGCCAATTAAATTCTCCAAGTAATGAGGCTGGGAGAGGGAACACGCTGCACTGCGCTATCGACAGCTATTAGCTAGCGAGTTTGCGTATCACTCTTATCTTGTCTCCCGGCACAGGACAACGAGGCAAGGGCACCAGATAAACTCTTTGCTTTAGTAGGGAAAGGGAAACTTCCCAAACATCTGACACAGGCATAGCAGTAAGCTATGGAGACTGGAGGCAAGGAGAAGAAAGAAAGATCAGTCTTTATATTGCTTCAGCTCTGCTTTGGGAAGGAAGGAGCAGAAACCAGGGCACAACCCAGCAGTCCTTTCTGTAACCTTGAAGATGACTGTAACATGACATAAGACACCGGGGAATGAATCACAATGCAAGAGGTCCCCCTTCTAGCCCTCTGATCTGTTTTTGTGGGACTCACGTACGCTGGCTAAGGTAAATGCAGCAGAGAAAAGGGTAGCTGACAGATAACTAAAAGGTGTAATCTTCTCTAATGCAGATAAGGGCTGAGCATCCCCATCAAAAACGTGGGAAAACAGAAGGCAGCAATTGCCTCAAGGCAGTAAACTTAAATTCCTTTCAGATAGAACTAAGGCTAAGTCATTGAAAAGTTACGCCTCTAAGTGCCAAAAATACCTTTGAATCTGGGGTTAATTCATGATGAGATCTGGTCCTCATTCCTCCACTCAACTCACTGCAACTCCTGCAGGCAGAAGATGCACTTCCAGAAGGATTAAAAAGGCTTTGCCTATAATAAAATATTCACTGACCCAGCCTAATTTGTCAAGTTAAATTTGAGACATGAAATGCCTTAAACTTGACAGAGTAGTAGGTATCAGGAATGCAAGGAAATTTCAGAGACTGATGAAAGAGAATCCATCAAAACAGAAAAACGTTTGCCAACAGGTATGTGCTTCAGAAACGCAGAGAACGTATGTGGGATGCAAAAAAAACCCACTAAACTTCTTAGCAGCATTAGAGTCTCCTCCTTTCCTTTGAGGAGGACTTGCTATGCCATAGAGAGCAAGGCTAACGCCGGTTTTGCTGAAGATACACCAGAACTTCAAACTGAATCGGGGAAGGCAGCTAGAACTGAACGATCTTCAAGTCAGTACAGGTACAATAGCCTATTGCTACAAATCTGTTTAGGAGCTCTAACTCCTGTCACAAGATAATATTTAAGTGACTAAGCTTCAGCACAATACAATGCACACTGCTGAACAAAAATCACATGTTCGCGGCTCCCCACAGCTGCTTAGTTCGTTAGATCTGCAAGAACTGCTTCAGCGTACGAGTTTTCTTACTCATGATTTCTCTTGCATTACAATGCAACTATGATTAAGCATCTGCTGGTTTGCTGTGAAGTCCAATGAAAGCCAATTCCTTCAAAACGTGGTAAGACGTACTGATCAGCGATAAAGAGCTCCTTCATAGCCAACGCGTTGTTAGAATACGCTCTG